GTAAATTTGTAGTTTATCATTAACAGCAACACAGTGGAAAGAAACTATAACATTCGGATTGTCTACATTCAAAGGAACTACTTCCTCTTCCGCCTTTCATAGTCATGAGTGAAATACGGCTGTGTAAATGTCTCGCCGCGTGCGCACTCACAACAACGGCTGAGCGTAGTCGGAGTCACGCGTGGACGTAGTTTACCTCCACAAACAGCTGAGACGTGGTTTGGATACATGTGGCAGAAAAGTGAGGTGTTGCGGGCATACGTGCTCCACGAGCGCCCGGTGGAGTGAAGCTGCCGTCCGCTCCTTGCTGTCTAAATATAACCGGGCGCTGACGTAAACTCTTGTTTTATCAGCTGTGTGAAACCCCGCAGGAACCCTCCCGAGGGATTAATAAAGTTTAATCTAATCTAATAACTTTAATCTCAGCCAAACAGATTTACTCACGAACAAATGAAACACTGAAAAAGCCCAACAACATTTTTAAGTTATCAAAGTCAAACACATCATGTTTGAAGTAGCGACAGACCGCTCAGATGTTTCAACTTCACACAGCTACATTCTGGCCTGAAAACTTGTTAAAAGTTTTTTGCGACCCAGAAAGAGAAACAAGAGTGATATTAAAACTAAGTCGCTGCCGCCGTTGTTGGAGACTGGGCCGCGCTATGAATTCTGGGATATGGTTTTTCAATTTTGTTGTCCGGGTGGAAAATCGGGAGGGTTTGCATGTTTGGTTGTGGCAACATCACCAACCTTGTCAAACACCTCAGAGTAAATCGTACCACAGAATATGAGGCGCGTATGTTGAGACTGAAGAGGAGGACAGGCGCTGCTGGGGCGAGACGACGTCTCTCACGGAGTCCTTTAGTGCTGCAGGCAGGCAACGTGTTCAAATAGCACAACTTTTTTATTTCCATATGATGCACTCTGCATTATTAAGTGATAAGAACAAGTAATCTGATGTCCTGTAATCATGACGACGCTATAATTTGAGATACAACAAATAAAATAAGTTTTTGTAAAGAGTATCGGATCAGTATCGTCGATACCGCCCTGAATTTTACTTGGTATCGGAAAGGAAATCACTGGTATCCACATCACTACTGAATGCGGATGACCAGCCTCATTCTGGACCGTGTTTCCGGAATGCAGTAAGCTAGGGAGCTGATTGGAGATGTAACAGCCAATCGGCACACTTATAAATGTGTACAGAGATCTGAGCGGAGGCGCTGTGACTGTGTGTATGTGGATAACAGCAAACACTGAAATTCATTTCCTGCACGCAGAAATTAATTTTCTTCGATTAAATTAAACTTTTCTTTGCTCAAAATATTTTTTTCTCAAAATGCAACATTTGCGCTTCCACGTGCTCAGCGACACGTTTCCTTTGTTAGCTAACCATGAAGGTCCTCCGCCAGTCCACGCATGCTCATTCACACTCACCCACTCTGTGCAGCTTGATTTGGGGTTTCCAGGTGATATCCAGCAGTCTGCGCTGACGGTCGATCTCTTCCTCGTACTGGACGATCGTTTTTTCAAACTCCAAGAATATTTGTTCAGCAGCAGCAGTTAGTCGCTCGTTGATGAACTCTCTCAGATACTGAACTGAAGGCATCGTTGCTGCCGCGGCTCACACTCTCAGCTCACACACTCAGCTCGGCCACACGCGAGGAAAGTGAACAATACTTCCGCCTTTCTTTGTTTACTTCCGCTGTTCCCATGTGTCCCAGCTGTTTCTCATGCTTGGATCCTGTCCTGTGATCAGCCCTCTGCCTCCGCCCTCTGTGTCGTCACGAGCAGCTGGGTGGAGACTGTTGTTTACTATTGTCAGCTGTTTGATATCTGCTGATTCAGGACACAGAGTGACAGGTGTGGTTTAAAGTTCACAGAGGAACCAGGTCACTTTGACCTTTAGAGAGGAGTCTGTCTGAAAACAGGGTGGTGCTTGTCGTGTGCAGCGGTCTGTCCTGGTTTTGGTTAAAGGAGTCTGATGAGGTTTCATCTGAAAATGAAGCAAATGAAACGAAACGCAGCTTTTAAGCTTCTTAAACACAAATGTGACAAACTCCTGGATGTCATCACAGAGGGCTGATGTGGACGAACATCACCAGGTGACACGAGAACCAACAACAGCTGGAACACCTGGAACATGACTGATGCAGCCAATCAGGAACAAGAAGAGGTGAAGCCCCACCCACTCCTAAGCAGGAAACCCTGAGGGTTTTTTTAAATTTTTTAAATAAACTTTATTTGTCGACAACAATATGAACATTAGTTATCCATGCATCTAAAATGTACAGTGAGCATCACAGCAGGAGAAATAAACAAAAAGCAAAAGAAAGGTTGATGTCGAAACGGAGACAAACGGTGTGAACAACAAAGAAAATCATGATGTGCAGCTGAGATAGAGAGGAGGCCTCCTGACATCATCTGGGTAAATCTCATTTATGACTTTAAAGTTAACCTCTTTTACTTTAAGGGGAAGTGAAATATACTTTCTTCTTATCACCTTAACCTCCTTGGATTCAAATTCTTTTAGAATACACAGAGGATGCACAGAGGATGCACAGAGGATGCACAGAGGATGCACAGAGGATGCACAGAGGATGCACAGAGGATGCACAGAGGATGCAGTCTCCATCGCACTGCACTCTGTCCTCCCACACCTGGACAACAACAACACCTACGCCAGAATGCTGTTTATAGACTTCAGTTCAGCATTCAATACAATCCACCCCTCACAACTCATCAGGAAACTGACAGA